GCCAGGGCAGCGGAGTCTGGGATGATCCTGGGAGCTGCAAGCCAGAGACCTGCAGGGAAAGCGTTGGGCAAGGCTGGTCCAGAGCAAGACCCTGCAGCTTCTGCTGCAGGTGACCAACGGGCTCCTTTGGCTGGGAGACCGATGGAGGAAGAGGCAAATCGTCTTTTCTCACTCTTGCTTCCCAGCAGCTGGCCATCCAGAGGTTGACTGACTGCCCCGGAGCCTTGAAGTTCCAAGCCCCTGACTTGACTAGTGTCACCGAACTGAGTTCTCTCCAAAGTTGCCTCTCTTAAAGTCACCTAAACAGCCATCAGCCCATCAGGGGGCAGGGATTTTGATTCCTTTGCGGGATTGTGCTTTAGTGGGGGTGGGTGGGGGTGGCTGGAGTATCTCTGGGTCACGTGTATCCCACGGCCACTAAGTGCCCTTGGGCCAACAGGAAACAACCCGTCTCAGAACTGCTGAGCGGCAGAATTCTGGAAGAAGGAAGTCGGTGAGCGAGACAGCAGAGGCAGATCCCCTTCAGCCATGCAGTCTCCCCCCACCCCCCTCTGCCCTCCTTGCTAGAGTTGCAGAGGGTCAAATGGGAGGGGGGAAGGCTGCATATGCTCTTGGCCTGGAGGAAGGCAGGGATATGAGGGAGTGGGAAGGGGAGGACCTCCAGCCCCATCTCATATCATGTCTTTCAGAGGACTAAAACGGAGCAGTTCGGGAGTGGGGGAGGGGAGGGTGCTTTGATTATGCTTTTACCCTCCCCCTGGGTCACTTGGGCTCTGGACTCAGGGTACAAGTGCCCCCAGCTCAGGGCAGCTCATCCCAAATTACTGGCAAAGCACAGAGACCCCTGGCCATAGCCTCCCGCGGGAGCCAGTGGGGCAGGGTGGGGAATCGTCCTGGTTTTCCAACATAGGAGTCCCATTGCAGGAAAACAGCTCTCTGGAGACAGGATATGGAAGAGCAGGCGCGGCGCATTTCCTGGGGAGGTCAAGGAACTGTGCTTCTTCCAGGCCAGTAGCCAAGTTGGCGGGGGCCCATGGAAGGCGGTGGAAGCCCGCCACGGAGCCATGGGCTCTTCGGGCCTGCTGGCTGGGTTTTCGTGACCCTCAAGGGCTGCAGCCCTTCGCCTCCTGGTTGTGTGAATCAGGCATTCTGCTACGTGTCTGAGCCTCCTGTGTACTGGCGATCCAGCACGCTTAAGATAGTGCGCCATCCCTGCCAATGCCCTGCAGCCCCCTTCTCCTGAGGGCGGCAGGGCAGGGCAGGGCAGGGCAGGGCGGCCAGGCAGCCCTTCTCGGGCCCACAGGCCGCGCAAGAGGATCGCATCCCGCAGACC